TAAATGTTGTTAATAAAGTAAATTTTTTTTTTTTGTATCTCTGTCTTTTTCATACAGAGGCGTTTGGGAGATGCTGCCAAAAAAGCCATGAGTAAACTTCAGCTACGCACTATCAAAAGAGGAGACAAGGTAACTCAAGTCTAAAAGTACACATACGGCCACAAAAGTCTTCTTATTTATGTTTGAATTACATGACATGAATTTGATCATTTTTAAAGAATTTATTGGCCTCTTATTTTCTGTCTTGTTTAAGGAAACAGAGTCGGACTTTGACAACTGTGCAGTTTGTATTGAAGGTTATAAGCCTAATGATGTTGTAAGGATATTACCATGCAGGTAACTTTTATTTATACCTTACATATTTTTTTTTTTTTTTGGGGCAAAAAATCACATGCACTGTAATATGTTTTTTGCACTGCTGTCTTGTTTGGTCAGACATTTCTTCCATAAGCACTGTGTAGACCCGTGGCTCCAAGACCACCGAACGTGTCCCATGTGCAAAATGAACATCCTCAAAGCCCTGGGAATCCCAGTGGGTTGTTTTGCTTTATCACACAGATAAAGTGATAATGTAACTAATCAAACCTTACATAAAGCTTTGGCAGTGATAAAGACATTAGGATGCCTCTGATATGTTCCAGTTTAGCGCGGACTGCTCGGATGAGGTTCCTCCAGACTACGAGATGTCTGTCGGAGGTCCACCTACCAACCCCATTAGTGGAGCGAGCGAAATCACAGTGAACGAGAGCTCGGTAGTGTTGGATCCAGCAGAAAGAGGAATAGACCTGTCGGCACTCCATCCTGAGACAGAGTCAGCGCTTCAGGCGGGGGAGAGCCGTATCTTTGCCAGCAGTACGTACAGACATTTTTTACTTATAGCAGCCTGTGATAGTGGTGGACAGTACAAACCTGATTCTGAAAAAGGTGGGATTCTGTGTAAAATGTAAATAAAAACAATGCAAAGATTTCCATAAACTCATATTTTAAGAAAAATATTAGCTCATTTTGAATTTGATGGCAGCAACACGTGAAAAAAGTTGGGATGGAGGCAACAAAGTGCTGGAAAAGTAAGTGGTGATAAAAAGAAACAGCTGTAGGAAAAATTAATTAGGTTATTTGGCAACAGGTCAGTTACACAATTGAGTATAAAAAGAGCATCTTAGAGAGGCTTAGGGTTTTTTTGTGTATGTAATATACGAAAGTACTGATATCTGAGTACTTCCTCCAGGCACATATATTACGCTGAGGAGTTGGGGAAATCCAGTGCTAATTCACACTTACTTTAACACAATTAAGAAAATCTGTTTTCCAACAGCCTGCCCTTTGTGATGTTTAATGCATCCATGTTTGATTGTTTTCAAATTAAATAGATGAGGTCAGTCCTCCTGTCTAAGATAAAAACAAGAGGAAAAACTCAAGAAAGTCACTAACTAACCTACCTAAAATCTTCGTTCATTGCATTTCTGTAACTTATATAATCACCTAAGGGCTGTGGTGTTGCCTAATAGCTGCAAGCTATTAGCACTTTGCAGTTTGTGTTTATGGGTGTGAGTTCATGCAGAAGCTCTTATGTGTTTCTCCGAACATGATCTCTGAAGCCAAACTATTTTACATTTTACCAAAACAGGGAGTGGGGAGTTTAAGTGTTTTTTTGTAGCAGCATGTTTTTTTTAAGCAGTTGTTAAATTGACAAAAAAAACAAAGAATGCATTTTGTTACTTTTTCTTTATATGATAATAAATCCAATAGTGTTTCACAATTTTTCCTACTTGCAAAGCATAGTATCGTAAACCTGCTGATTTAAGTTTATGACTAATGCTTACGTTTACTTGCACATAACAAGTTAATTGAGAGGTAGTATATCAGTTTGCCAGAGGCACAAATCGTAGTCGAGTGCGATGAGAATGTAAATCGGACCGAATAAATCGTATGTTGCAGCTCGTGCACCAGTGCGCAAACAGATGATGGCACTGACAGGGAGTCAGCACGGGATAAACAAGCTGATCTGCCAGGATTTCTGCTGTAGCGGCTTGGCAGTGATGAAGTGCCAGTCATGTTGCTTTTTACCCTGAGTAATTAGCAGGACTAGTAATGTAGCTATCACTCTTTCCAGTCAGCCATTGAGTGCAGGTAAAAAGACCCTGATTTCTGGACTTCTGTCTTAATGCATTGCTCACGTGCTTATATGAAGACTGAAAACATTGTTAGTTGTTGAACAAACCTGTTTCTGTTTAACATGAAACAAGAGCTTGAGCAAAAGTAATCTGCTTTTTCACATTTGTGTATCTGACATGGATGCCATTCAACCATCACATAAGCACTGAAGCATACTTTGGAACACTCTGTACATGTCCACAATTTCATTATACATGTACAATGACAATGAAGGGCTATTCTATTCTTTTAAAATTCCAGCTTCCCAGCTTCGTTTTCTGCTTCGAAACCCTCTCCACAGTTCAGCAGGAGAGAAGGGAAAAAAAACATTTGAGAGCATCATTTGTCTGTATGACAGCACCAGTTGTTTTCTGCACACTTGCATGCAGTTTTTCAAGGTTGGTGGTAGGAAGGTTGCTCAGTCCTCTTTGGTAACATCACACACATTTATGGGTTACACCAACTGTTCATTAATGCTGTTAATTATTAGTATATTATAGTTATTAGTGCACTTATGCATAGACATGATCAAAACAGCCTACTGTACTAAGCATCAGAATGGGGGAGAAAGGGGATTTAAGTGACTTTGAATGTGGAATCATTATATAGTTGTTGGCATGAGATGGGCTAATATTTCAGTAACTGATGACCTGCTGATGGTTTTCCCACACAAAAATGTCCAGGGTTTACAGAGGATGGGCCTGAAAAGAGAAAATATCCAGTGCGTGCCAGTTTTCAATGCCTTGCTGACAGAAAGCAAACAGTAACTCAAATAACCACTCATTACAAGTGAGGTGTGCAGAAGAGCACATAGACTACAGCAGTAGCAGAAGACCGTCCGGGTGCCAAACCAGTGAGCTAAATAGTTGTAAACTGAAATATCTAGTGAGTGGTACTTCTCTGGGTGAAAACATCATGGGAGAATGTCCATACTCCTTTGAGTTGATAGGAAGGCAAAAGAAACTCCAGTAACCACTTGTTACAGCCAAGCTATGCAGAAGACTTGTTAGAGCCAAGGTATGCAGCTGAGCCACATATCACACCCCATCACATGCCCCTATCACCTTCTCTTGTCAGTACAAACCGTACAGACTGAAGAAGGCCATTTTTCCCTTGGACTCTGCAGACAAGGGAATCTCTCAGTAGCACTTGGTTAAATCCAGCATTGTGAAAAAGTGAGCAGTGCCTCTCCAGTCCAGGGACCTCATCAGCGCGGGGCATTGGGTAGGCATTCGACTAAGACACCTTGCCTTGTGGTAGTCAACACAGAACCGTATAGAGCCATCTTTCTTCAACACAAGAACTATGGGGCTACAGCAGGCGCTGTGTGAGTCTTCTATCACTTCTATTTTCAGCATTTCAGCCAATTCTTTCTAAACAATTTGTCTCTTATGCTCAGGTAACCTGTAGGGCTGTGAATGCACTGTCATGCCATGGTGCGTTTCAAAATTCAAAATCTGCTCTCTGGGCCTGTGTGAGATGGCCATCAGAAATGGTGGAATTTTGCACCTCCAGGCCCAATTCATCTCTTTCCGTAGCCAGACTCACCAGAGAAGCGGTTTCGGCTTCTTTCCATGCATTGAGGTTGAGGTGATATATCTGTGTGGTTCCTCCCCTGTCTGACCATACCACTTCACGTCTAGGACCCCCACCCTCCGAGTTACCACAAAGGGTCCTTGCCACCTGGCGAGTAACTTTGGGCTGGAAGAAGGTTCTGTGTTAACTACCATATACTCTGCCATGGGGTTGTAACTCCTCCCCACAGTCACCATCGGACGTTGATAAAGGTCATGAACGCATCCTCACACACTGCCCCAACAGGTTATTAAAACCTGGCCAATCTGTCTCCAGAATTAGAGATGCGTCAGGCGTGAACTAACCGCAGCCTTCACACTATGCATTTTGCCCTTGTATTTAATTTGGAACGGCATTATGGGATATTTGTGTATGTCCTCATGCACACACCTAACCTCCTCCAACTCTGCCTCCAGCAAAGCCCCGGACCTAAACCAGAATTTGGTGGACTATAGCCCGGCGTATAGCCCCTTGGGTTCTTGTCAAGTTGCAGAATAAAGTTGTTACTGAACAGATGGCAGTCTGATGCCAAGACAGAGCAATGTGACAACAGTGTGACAAAAATGAAGGAGTAATCTAAAACTTGCATTTCCCGCTGGCTTCTAAACAGCTGACACAATTAATGAACTAGCTGCAGCTTAAGAGCCACAGATTTTACTCTCCTTTGGAAAAGTGCGAGTAAAAGTAAGCCTTACATGTAACAGATGCCCAAAGCGCCACTCTAAATGGTAATGTTTCTCATGAATTGCAACTTTTCTATATTCATTCAAAGGTGCCTTGTTAGTGTGTTCACAACATGTTTCTGCTGGCTCTAAAAAAAAGGTTGAAAAATCAGTTACCACATGTTTTAGTGGCGATGACATTAGCCAAAAGTATTAAAGACACAGCTGCCTGTGACGTGTCAGTTAATGTATCAACTTGCTCTCTTGCCCTTCAGGTGAGCACCAGCCTCCACTCAGCAGTGATTCAGACACTTCAATCATCGTGGGCATTGAGGTAGGCATGTCTGAATTAGACCTATCCACTGAGCAGGAATGTGATGACACCAAGTCCAGAGCCAATCAGAGCTGAGACAAATAGCACAAAACTCATAGGACAAGGAGGAAAAAAGCAGGACTGGGTGATCAGGGTGCTCCCCAAGATTATCCAGTGATGAAGTGACCTGGCTGAAGATGAATGTAAATGAGCAATACAAGTGATAGCAGCACAAAATACCTGGTTCTTTCTTCACTTGACTAAAAAAACGGATTAATCCCTGTATCTATGGATATTTAGCTCGCTCATTTCCTGATGCCAGGATGGCTAGTCACACCCCTCACCATGTGGTGACCAACAGTTTGTACATTCAGTCTTTTCACATCCTGAAACCATCCAAACTACACATACAGTAACTCTGGAGGTGTATGAGCCCTTCACAGTTGTTTGTCCCGAGTGAGACAAACCAAACCTGCTGCCGAAGAAAAAGCAAGGCCTTCTGCACACCATTTTCCAGCTTTAATCAATAGAAAAATACGAGTGGATTCTTTGACTTCCTGGTACAAGATCACTGCCAACAAATCCAGAAGTTGTACTGATATGGCGTGCACCTGCATAGCGCATTAGGAGAGCACCTGAGTGGTTTTCTTCTGATTCTCCAACAGTTGGTGTGACTTTCCACCAGCAGTTCTTCAGCTTCAGACTTGAATGTTAGCTCTGTTGTCGTCGCATGACATTAAGAATATGAAGGCACACAAGCTGTAATTTCAGAATTTCTCAGTGTAATTGTTTTTGTTACTATTTTGTGGTTCTCAGTTTTTAAAACTTTGACTTTACCAACTAAATATTCCTGTCATGGAGAGACAAATGAGCAAACACAAGCTAGATGTTTCTGTCCTCACATCTGACAATCATAGCTTGTCCTAAGCGGTTTGAAGTGATGTCACTCTCTGCCCTGCTGAAACTGCTGCCTGCTGAAACTTCACAACATGTGAAGTAAGGGATCATGTTCTCACTGCTGCTAAACACAGCTGTAGCTGTAGCTATAGCAGTTGTCACTACCAATTTCTCCCACTGTGCACACTTCCCTATACAAGCCTACGCAAACCAGCCAATATAAATACGTCAACAAGTCTTTGTGCCAAGCTTGTCTTTTGCATATTAGCCATTGTTATTTGTCATTAAAGTTAATTGCCTTGGCTGACAGGCTGGAACTACACTAAATCTTTTCGTGATTACCACCCTAATAAATAACATCAGGGCAATAAGTTATGTCAGTTGAAAAGACTGTGTTAGATAATAAAGGAGGCAGGGCTCGGGTTCATTCAAGGAATTCTCTGCCCCAAGCATTTTTTTTTCTTTGTCCTGGCATGAACAGTTACCAGCATGGAAACATTTACAGTCTTGGAGTGAGTTTACACTAAACTGGCTAGTTTTGCCAAACAGCATCGATGTACCGTACCCACAGGGTTTTTAGCATGGATCTGCAAAAAAGTGGAAAGAAATTAACAGCATTTGGAAATGTTAAAAATAAGACAGCTAACTTACTACAGTTTGGAAGCACATGTACAAAAATGGTTCTGAATTTAATATAACTAAATATTTTCATTGAGAAGGCATGTGACAACTTATGGTAAAACATAGCTTCAGTGCTTTAGCCCATGAAAACGTACAAAAATATAGCAACTATAACAGATTCTTTTATATTATTAACAAATGTGCTGTTATAGTGAAGACCCTAAACTCTTCAGTGTTTTGAAACTTTACAATGAGTTTCAGCCACAGTCTGTATATAAAAAATGGACAAACCTCCCCATTTGTGTAAGTGAAGACAGTGCCTTAAACCTGCATTCTTTCTAATGGCCAGCAGGGGGCAAGGGAAATTCTGAATGCTTAAAAGTCTATGAGAAAATGATCCCTTGAGATTGTGTAGCATCGTTGGGTTGCCGGTCAGCTCCTTTCCATTTCCTTTACCTCCATTTCTTACTTCCAGCTCGAGGCTCCAAAACAGGACTCAAACCAGCGGGTTACATCATAGCAGTCATGTCCATCATTTATATACAGACTATGGTTTGAGCTCATTGTCTTACAGTTGATTTGCTCTCACTGCTCTCAGAGGATCATTTGTTTTCAGAAAATCTCTCCTCAGTCTAGACTACCTGCCCAGAGCCAAAAAAATGACACAAAAGATTATTCTATCGGGATCAGATGAAGACCAAGACTGAAGTTTATTGTGTTCTGTTTACTTGATTCTGCTGCCACCAAGTGGTCAAAATTATGAAATTATTATTATGATTATGAAATAATTATTTTCAGCATTTTATCAATATACTTGTTTTCCTTATCCCAATTTCAACACTACTCTAAAAAGACTGTTTTTGAGAAAAGAATGTAGCTAACTCAGCATGGGCTCCAGAGTGGAAGCTGACTGTTAATGCAATTACATTTATTGTTTTGTTGTTGTTGTTTTTTCAACTAGTTTTTTATTTATTTTTTAGATTAATTGCTTTTTAAAGAAGGTCTCGTAAATGTACAAATAGCCGAATTTAAAGCTCATTTGGGTCCATTTCCTCTTACATTCCTGCAGCCATGCACACTGAAGAAGCACAAACCCACCGATATAGTCATTGGAGCCATCGGGCTCTAACTGCTGGTTCTCTCTTTAGTCATTTCCAAGAGCTCCTGCAGCTGACTCTATTATTTAAGGCATATGGTCAAACTCATTCTTGCTTTGGTCAGTCAATATCTGTATGTGCAAATATCTAAGTTTCAGAAATAACTGGTGTTAGGAGGCTTATATTGTAATTCTTTATTTGATAGCTATGATCACTACACTCTAGTAAAAGTTAAAATATTCAGGTTGTGTCTGCAGTTTTTCATTTTGATATAATACCTACAGGTGTAAGCTTGACAGTTTTTTAAGTTTCCTCGTTTAACTGGAAGATTTCACAAATTTCCATTTTTATAAGCACTTATATAATAAAATGAAATCAGAGTTTTAAATCATCTGACAGACTGCATTTCTTTTGTGTTGAGGACATGAAGGTTAACAAAGATCCTGATTTTCACTAGAGACATGGCAGCTGAAATCTCACCCTACTGGGATCGTTAATCCCCTCATGCTACATGAGCTCAGGCTAAAAATCGAACAGCACAATACAAAGGCATACCCAAAAGTTGTTTGTTTTACCCTCTGATATTTTAAACTCTTGGATTTTCTTTTCTATCATCATGTCTCTAAGGCTTCCATCTAATTGTTTGCTTAGTTGGTACAATGACAAAGTAAAGCAAAGTGCATTTATTTACAGTGCTACATGGCTGGGCTTTGGTTGTGTTGCCAAGTTCAAAAAAAATTAAATAAAAACAAGGTTTTCCACAGTTTAAGGCCTTTTTGTTACAGAGCAACTTAAACTGCGTGATGAAGGTCTCTCAGTTTTGTCTGTTTACAACATTTTACTAACAACTTTCTCTGGGGAATAAATGAACTCAAACACCGAAGACATGTCAGCTTATTTCATCTAATAAGAGTTTGTGTCCTGATGAAGAAAACAACACCAGTGTCCCTAACAGTAACTGTAACTTCAACATTGTTTAACGCACTACCTTTATTACTTATTTAAATCATTTCCAACATGTTTTCTGGAAAGAAAAAATGTAATTGCAACAATTTTTGGGGAAAATATAAAGCTCTTCTTAAACTTTATGTGAAAGTGGTTAGTGTCAATA